ACCACACCAGGAACCACCACACCCACCTAGCCAGGGTCATCAAGCAAACCACGCCTCCGTTCCCCCCAACCCCCCCCCTACCATGAACCCCATCCCACCTGCCAGGAGGGTCATCAAAAAACCACGCTTGCCCAACAACACACCGGGAAAACCACCCACCCACCAGCCGAGGGTCATCGGCCCCTGCCCCGTCCCACCCCCTCCAACCCCCCCGGCCCCCTTTCCCCCCCCCCGGGGCTCAACACCACGCCCCCCGTCCCACCCCCCCTACCAAAAACCCTCCGGAAACCCCACTACCCACCTACCCCGGGGGTCTCAAGCTACCACTCCTCCCCCCACCCCCCCAAAACAACAAAACCCCCCCCCCCCACCAGGGGTTATCCTCCCGTTCTTACACCACTACCAACCCTGGGGCACCACACCCATGGGCACAACACAGCCCTGCCAAAAACCCCCCAACCCAAACCCCAAAACCAAAACCCCACCACCCTTTCAAAAACCCACCCTTGCCCAAAACACCACCTCCAAAAACCACCGGCCACAACCCCCTGGGGCCCCCCCAAAAAACCCCGCCTTTTGCCCCCCCCCCCACCAGCCTCCCCCCCCCCGGGGGTCCCCCAAACCACCCCCTGCCCCACAACAAAACCCCCTTCCCCCACCAAGGGCACAACACCATTTCCCCCCGCCCAACCCCCCCACTAAACCACAAACTACCCCACTAAACCACCGAAAACAACCCCTGAAACAAAAACCACCACACGGCACAACACCCCCCTTTGCCCACCACCCACAAAACCACCCTCCCAACCCACCATCCCACCAACCCCCCACAAAACCCCCCGCCCTTCCCCACAAACCCGCCCCCCCCCCCCACCCTACCCCGGGACCACACCCCCCCGCCCCCACCTTCCACAACCCCCCCGGCCCCCAACCACCACCGGGGGGCAAACCCCCCCCCCCTTTTGCCAACCCCCTCCCAACCCCCCCCCGGGCCCCCCCACCCAACCAGGGCCCCTCAAACCCCCCCTTTCCCCCCCCCAACCACTACCAAACCAACCCCCCCCTGCACAACCCACCAGCCCCTTGCCCACCCCACTCCCAACAACCCTACGCCCACCAACCCCCCCACTTAGCCTCCCAAAGCAACCACGCCTACAAACCACCCTGGCCCCCCCCAACCCCCACCGCCGCACAACAAACCCACCCCTGCCCCCACCAAACCCAACACCCCCCAACCCACCTTTTGCACCCCCACCCCTTTTCCCGGGCCACCATCCTTCCCCAAACCAACCACAAACCACAACACCACCCCCACACACCACCTGCACAACACCAGGCTTGTACAACACCACCCTGCACAACACCAGCCTGCACAACACCAGCCTGCACAACACCAGCCTGCACAACACCAGCCTGCACAACACCAGCCTGCACAACACCAGCCTGCACAACACCACCTGCACAACACTAGCTGCAAAAACACTAGCTTGCCACAACACCACCTGCACAACACCAGCCTGCACAACCCCAGCCTGCACAACACTAGCTTGCACACACTACTGCACAACCCAGCCGCCCCAACACCAGCCTGCACAACACCAGCCTGCACAACACCAGCCTGCACAACACCAGCCTGCACAACACTAGCTTGCACAACACTAGCTTGCACCACACCAGCCTGCACCACACCAGCCTGCACAACACCAGCCTGCACAACACCAGCCTGCACAACACCAGGCTGTACAACACCAGCCTGCCCAACACCAGCCTGCACAACACCAGCCTGCACAACACCAGCCTGCACAACACCAGCCTGCACAACACCAGCCTGCACAACACCAGCCTGCACAACACCAGCCTGCACAACAATGTTTAAACCACTGCAATAAAGCCAGGATAACAGTGTTTAAACCACTGCAATAAAGCCAGGACAACAGTGTTTAAACCACTGCAATAAAGCCAGGACAACAATACTTAAACCACTGCAATAAAGCCAAGACAACAGTGTTTAAACCACTGCAATAAAGCCAAGACAACAGTGTTTAAACCACTGCAATAAAGCCAAGACAACAATACTTAAACCACTGCAATAAAGCCAGGACAACAGTGTTTAAACCACTGCAATAAAGCCAAGACAACAATACTTAAACCACTGCAATAAGCCAACAACAGGTGTTTAAACAACTGAAATTTTTAAAGCCAAGAAACAAATCTTTAACCATGCAATAAGCCAGGAAAAAGTGTTTTAAAACCCACTGAAATAAAGCCAGACAAAAATATTTAAAACCCCTGAAATAAAGCCAAGACAAAAAAACTTAAACCACTGCAATAAAGCCAAGACAACGTTTTTTTAAACCCCACTGCAATAAAGCCAAGACAACAATACTTAAACCACTGCAATAAAGCCAAGACAACAATACTTAAACCACTGCAATAAAGCCAGGACAACAATACTTAAACCACTGCAATAAAGCCAAGACAAAAAATATTTAAAACCATGCAATAAGCCAAAAACAAAAAATATTTAAACCCACTGCAATAAACCGGACAACATGTTTAAACACTGCAAAAAACCAAGACAACGTGTTTAAACCACTGCAAAAAAAGCCAAGACAACAGTGTTTAAACCACTGCAATAAAGCCAAGACAACAATATTTAAACCACTGCAATAAAGCCAAGACAACAATACTTAAACCACTGCAATAAAGCCAAGACAACAATACTTAAACCACTGCAATAAAGCCAACAACATTTTTAAACCACTGCAAAAAAGCCAAGAAAAACAGTGTTAAACCATGCAATAAACCAAGACAACAGGGGTTTAAACCCTGAAATAAACCCAAGACAACAATACTTAAACCACGAAATAAAAGCCAGGACAACAGTTTTTAAACCATGCAATAAAGCCAAGAAACAATATTTTAAACCATGCAATAAAGCCAAGACAAAAATACTTAAACCCTGCAAAAAAGCCAAGAAACAAATTTAAAACCCACTGCAATAAAGCCAAAACATTTTTAAACCATGCAATAAAGCCAAGACAAAAATACTTAAAACCACTGCAAAAAAGCCAAACAACAATACTTAAACCACCAATAAACCAAGACAACAATACTTAAACCACTGCAATAAAGCCAAGACAACAATACTTAAACCACTGCAATAAAGCCAAGACAACAATACTTAAACCACTGCAATAAAGCCAAGACAACAATATTTAAACCACTGCAATAAAGCCAAGACAACAATACTTAAACCACTGCAATAAAGCCAAGATAACAATACTTAAACCACTGCAATAAAGCCAAGATAACAAACTTAAACCACTGAAAATAAACCCAAGACAACAATAAAAAACCACTCCCAAAAAAAGCCAAATAACAATACTTAAACCACTGCAATAAAGCCAAGATAACAATACTTAAACCACTGCAATAAAGCCAAGATAACAATACTTAAACCACTGCAATAAACCAAATAAAAATATTTAAAAAACCATCAATAAACCCCAAGATAACAATACTAAACCCTCAAAAAGCCAGGACAACAGTGTTTTAAACCCTGAAATAAAGCCATAAAATTTTTTTTCTTAAAAACAAAATAAAAACGGGAGTCCTGAGTTATCCTCAACCCGGAAACTTAAACACAAGCAATTTAATGTGATCCTTTATTGACAACGTTTCGCCCACACAGTGGGCTTTTTCAAGTCACAAACAGATCGTGTGTACTTAAAAAGTCCACTGTGTGGGGAAAAAAGTTGTCAAAAAGGATCACTTATACTGCACAGTTTTATATTTCCATTTTCGGGGTTTAATATATTTATTTTTACCTCAAATCTCTAAATTCTTTAAAACGCCCTCATTTTTATTTTGCTTACCCATTACCACACACACACACACACACCAAAAGGGGGCCAGGAGCCCCATCCTCGACCCCTGCAACAACAATTACGGAGTACACAAACACACAACACCAACACACACAACCACACACACACCACCACACACACCCCCACACACCACCACACACACACACACCACACACACACACCACACACACACACACCACACACACACCACACACACACACACACACACACACACCACACACGCGACCACCACACACACAACACACACCCCACACACACACACACACACACACACACACACACACACACACCACACACACGCGCGCCACACACACACACACACACACACAACACACACACACACACAACACACCCACACACACAACACACACACACACCACACACAACACAACACACACAAAAACACACACACAAAACACACACCACACGCGCGCGCACACACACACACACACACCACACACACACACCACACACACGCACACACACCACACACACACCACACACACACACACACACACGGGGCGGGGCCAGGAGCTGAGTCTCGACCCCTGCAACCACAATTACGTGAGTACACACACACACAACACATATATATATATATATATATATATATATATATTATATATATATATATATATATTATATATATATATATATATATATATAATATATATATTGGCCGAAATGCTACCTAAAATCTTGGCTCAAGTATCATTTTTTTGGCCATGGGTCGGAAAATGATGACCACGCCGTCCTGGACGCCCAAACTTCAACAATTTTCTCGTTTTAAAACCCTCTCAACCTTTTTTCTGGGCAAGATTCGAAGCCTTTCCTCTCTTTAACCCCTCCCTTTCAACCCCCTCCCCGTCAACCTCTCCCCTTCAACCTCCCTCTCACTATAACCCCGCCTCACCATCATCTGTCGAACCTCACACTGTTATTGTGTGGATGTCAGTTATTCAAGTTTTAGTGTTTACGTTGTGTGTGCTGCCAACAGCGACAGTCTGACTGATCACACTCTCAACAGGATAGAAATCAGGTAACTTGGACACAGGTGCAGTGGCAATGACCACTAGAAATGTCTCCTAGGTCGGTTGGTAGCGCACTCACCTTATGCACTGAGGTCCTTGGTTCGATCCCCGGAACGGGTGAAAACGTTTAAGGCGTGTTTCCTTATACCTATTGTCTTTATGGGCTTGGCAGTAAGTAGGTACCTGGGTGTTAGGTGACTGGTGTGGGTGGCATCCTGGGGACAAAACCTAAGTTGCAGGAAATGCTCTATATAACCAGGAACTTTCTATATAGTATGTCATTGGTGTCAGCTATGGTATGTATAAGTTGAACCATCTACTGCTGGAAATAAACATTATTATTATTAATAAGTTGACCTGCAAACTGTGGTAGTTACTGAACCATAGGGGATGTTTGAAAAAAATCTCATTACTCAAGCAATAGTGGCTCCAGTTCCCGGGCCAGGTTTGTCTGGTTAAGCAGGTTGTTGCTGATGGTGGTCCTGGACCAGGCTTGTCTGGTCAACCACGTTGTTACTGCTGGTCGTCTGTGACCCACATATCCATCACAGCCTGGTTGATCTGGCACCTGGTGAAGATACTTGTCCAGTTTCCTCTTGAAGACTTCTACACTTGTTCCAGCAGTGTTTCTGATATCTTGAAGACTTCTACACTTGTTCCAGCAGTGTTTCTGATATCTTGAAGACTTCTACACTTGTTCCAGCAGTGTTTCTGATATCTTGAAGACTTCTACACTTGTTCCAGCAGTGTTTCTGATATCTTGAAGACTTCTACACTTGTTCCAGCAGTGTTTCTGATATTTTTGAAGACTTCTACACTTGTTCCAGCAGTGTTTCTGATATCTTGAAGACTTCTACACTTGTTCCAGCAGTGTTTCTGATATCTTGAAGACTTCTACACTTGTTCCAGCAGTGTTTCTGATATCTTGAAGACTTCTACACTTATTCCAGCAGTGTTTTTTAATATCTTGAAGACTTCTACACTTGTTCCAGCAGTGTTTCTAATATCTTGAAGACTTCTACACTTGTTCCAGCAGTGTTTCTGATATCTTGAAGACTTCTACACTTGTTCCAGCAGTGTTTCTGATATCTTGAAGACGTTCTACACTTGTTCCAGCAGTGTTTCTGATATCTTGAAGACTTCTACACTTGTTCCAGCTGTGTTTTCTATATCTTGAAGACTTCTACACTTGTTCCAGCAGTGTTTCTGATATCTTGAAGACTTCTACACTTGTTCCAGCAGTGTTTCTGATATCTTGAAGACTTCTACACTTGTTCCAGCAGTGTTTCTGATATCTTGAAGACTTCTACACTTGTTCCAGCAGTGTTTCTGATATCTTGAAGGCTTCTACACTTGTTCCAGCAGTGTTTTTTGATATCTTGAAGACTTCTACACTTGTTCCAGCAGTGTTTCTAATATCTTGAAGACTTCTACACTTGTTCCAGCAGTGTTTCTGATATCTTTAAGACTTCTACACTTGTTCCAGCAGTGTTTCTGATATCTTGAAGACTTCTACACTTGTTCCAGCAGGGTTTCTAATATCTTGAAGACTTCTACACTTTTTCCAGCAGGGTTTTCTGATATCTTGAAGACTTCTACACTTGTTCCAGCAGTGTTTCTGAAAATCTTGAAGACTTCTACACTTGTTCCAGCAATGTTTCTGATATCTTGAAAACTTCTACACTTGTTCCAGCAGTGTTTCTGATATCTTGAAGACTTCTACACTTGTTCCAGCAGTGTTTCTATATCTTGAAGACTTCTACACTTGTTCCACCAGTGTTTTCTGATATCTTGAAGACTTCTACACTTGTTCCAGCAGTGTTTCTGATATCTTGAAGACTTCTACACTTGTTCCAGCAGTGTTTCTGATATCTTGAAGACTTCTACACTTGTTCCAGCAGTGTTTCTGATATCTTGAAGACTTCTACACTTGTTCCAGCAGTTTTTCTGATATCTTGAAGACTTCTACACTTGTTCCAGCAGTGTTTCTGATATCTTGAAGACTTCTACACTTGTTCCAGCAGTGTTCTGATATCTTGAAGACTTCTACACTTGTTCCAGCAGTGTTTCTAATATCTTGAAGACTTCTACACTTGTTCCAGCAGTGTTTCTGATATCTTGAAGACTTCTAACACTTGTTCCAGCAGTGTTTCTAAAAATCTTGAAGACTTCTACACTTGTTCCAGCAGTGTTTCTAATATCTTGAAGACTTCTACACTTGTTCCAGCAGTGTTTCTAATATCTTGAAGACTTCTACACTTGTTCCAGCAGTGTTTCTGATATCTTGAAGACTTCTACACTTGTTCCAGCAGTGTTTCTGATATCTTGAAGACTTCTACACTTGTTCCAGCAGTGTTTCTGATATCTTGAAGACTTCTACACTTGTTCCAGCAGTGTTTCTGATATCTTGAAGACTTCTACACTTGTTCCAGCAGTGTTTCTGATATCTTGAAGACTTCTAAAACTTGTTCCAGCAGTGTTTCTGATATCTTGAAGACTTCTACACTTGTTCCAGCAGTGTTTCTAACATCTTGAAGACTTCTACACTTGTTCCAGCAGTGTTTCTGATATCTTGAAGACTTCTACACTTGTTCCCGCAGTGTTTCTAATATCTTTAAGACTTCTACACTTGTTCCAGCAGTGTTTCTGATATCTTGAAGACTTCTACACTTGTTCCAGCAGTGTTTCTAATATCTTGAAGACTTCTACACTTGTTCCAGCAGTGTTTCTAATATCTTGAAGACTTCTACACTTGTTCCAGCAGTGTTTCTGAAAATCTTGAAGACTTCTACACTTGTTCCAGCAGTGTTTCTAATATCTTGAAGACTTCTACACTTGTTCCAGCAGTGTTTCTGATATCTTGAAGACTTCTAAAACTTGTTCCAGCAGTGTTTCTAATATCTTGAAGACTTCTAAAACTTGTTCCACCAGTGTTTCTGATATCTTGAAGACTTCTACACTTGTTCCAGCAGTGTTTCTGATATCTTGAAGACTTCTACACTTGTTCCAGCAGTGTTTCTGATATTTTTGAAGACTTCTACACTTGTTCCAGCAGTGTTTCTGATATCTTGAAGACTTCTACACGTGTTCCAGCAGTGTTTCTGATATCTTGAAGACTTCTACACTTGTTCCAGCAGTGTTTCTGATATCTTGAAGACTTCTACACTTGTTCCAGCATGTGTTTCTGATATCTTGAAAACTTCTACACTTGTTCCAGCAGTGTTTCTGATATCTTGAAGACTTCTACACTGTTTCCAGCAGTGTTTCTGATATCTGAAGACTTCTACACTTGTTCCAGCAGTGTTTCTGATATCTTGAAGACTTCTACACTTGTTCCAGCAGTGTTTCTGATATCTTGAAGACTTCTACACTTGTTCCAGCAGTGTTTCTGATATCTTGAAGACTTCTACACTTGTTCCAGCAGTGTTTCTGATATCTTTAAGACTTCTTACACTTGTTCCAGCAGTGTTTCTGATATCTTGAAGACTTCTACACTTGTTCCAGCAGTGTTTCTGATATCTTCTGGTAAGATGTTGAAAAGTCTGGGACCCCGGATGTTGATACAGTGTTCCCTTATTGTGCCCACCGCACCCCTGCTCCTCACTGGGTTCATTTTACACTTCCTTCCGTATCTCTCACTCCAGTATGTTGTTATGGCAGTGTGCAGATTTGGGACCAGGTCCTCCAGTACCTTCCAGGTATATATTCTTATGAATCTCTCTCTCCTCCGCTCCAGTGAGTGCATGTTCAAAACTTGCAGGCGTTCCCAGTAATTTTGATGTTTTATTGACTCTATGTGAGCTGTAAATCATCTCTGTATCTGTTCCAGCTCTGCACCCACACCACCACAACAGCACCAACAAAGGCAACAACAAGAGCCCTGACAACGGCACCCACAACACAACCCACAACAGCAACAACAAGAGCCCTGACAACGGCACCCACAACACAACCCACAACAGCCCCAACAAAGGCAACAACAAGAGCCCTGACAACGGCACCCACAACACAACCCACAACAGCCCCAACAAAGGCACCAACAAGAGCCCTGACAAGGGCACCCACAACACCACCAGTGACAGCAACAGAGCATAAACATGTAAAAACAATGAAATATATATGTAAATGTATGTCCCGGCTTCTTGAAGACATATTCATAACCAAGTAATGTTTTTGAGGACCTACTACCACCACCCAAGCGAGGGGCAAGGTAGAGAGAAGCACTGCAGCAAGCCTACTGGCTCAATGATAAATGAGACACTTTAGCAACATTTCGGAATCTTTATTCTGGAAACGCTTCGCCACACACTGGCTTCTTCAGTCCAATGAAGAAAAAGTTGGAATAACAGGAGGAGTTTGAGGTGATCAGTCCTCCAGCTCATCCTCTTATTCCACCTTTTTCTGCATTGGACTGAAGAAGCGAAACGATTCCACAATAGACCCATGTGCAAGAGTTGGGTTTCTTTATTGATAAGACGTTTCGCCTACACAGTAGGCTTCTTCAGTCAAATACAAAGGGAGAAGTAGTAACGAAATAAAGATATAATCAGTGCATTAACCTTGGAGAAAAAGTATTTGAGGTGGTCAGTCCCTCAGTCTAGACAGTATTTAAGACCCCGTTCTTATTCTTCAGCTTCATATTGTTTCAGACCATGGTGCTGGACCCTTCTCCAGGCTGAGGGACTGACCACCTTGTTCCAGACCATGGTGCTGGACTCTTCTCCAGGCTGAGGGACTGACCACCTTGTTCCAGACCATGGTGCTGAACTCTTCTCCAGACTGAGGGACTGACCACCTCGTTCCAGACCATGGAGGTGAACTCTTCTCCAGGCTGAGGGACTGACCACCTTGTTCCAGACCATGGTGTTGAACTCTTCTCCAGGCTGAGGGACTGACCACCTTGTTCCAGACCATGGTGCTGAACTCTTCTCCAGGCTGAGGGACTGACCACCTTGTTCCAGACCATGGTGCTGAACTCTTCTCCAGGCTGAGGGACTGACCACCCTGTTCCAGACCATGGTGCTGAACTCTTCTCCAGGCTGAGGGACTGACCACCTTGTTCCAGACCATGGTGCTGAACTCTTCTCCAGGCTGAGTGACTGACCACCTTGTTCCAGACCATGGTGCTGAAACTCTTCCCCCAGGCTGAGGGACTGACCACCTTTTTCCAGACCATGGTGCTGAACTCTTCTCCAGGCTGAGGGAC